GCAACCTTAACAAGACAGTTTTGCAGAAACCCTGTACTCCAGAGCAAGCCATATTTACATGTTTCAACCATCTGAAGAAGATCCTCAGTGTTGACTTATGAATGAAATTTGTGAAGGCTCTGCACAAAGCTAAAAGCATGTCTACGACTTCAAAATTGTAGCCAAGAGTCTTTAGGGAGTCCTTCCCAATTTCCAAACAGCAAGATGGTTCCATCCTGGGTCTACATAGTTCAAAGGACGCTGTGAGAAAAGGAATGGATTTGCCAGCGGGAACCTGGAGCTGATTAAAGTTCCACAAGGTCTGAAAATCATGACCTCCTGGGACAGCATGAGGCAATAAAAGCTACTTTTACCTTCCTTATTGCCCTGGAAGGGGAACCTGTAGGAGGATGTAGACACCAGCCTCTCTGGCTGTACTGTCACCAGGGAACTGAATCCCAGCAATTCCTAGTACTAGAAGCAAAGAAGAAACTGCTGCACCTTGATATACCCTCCTCTTGTGAACACAGCCATGAGCAGAGGTCCTAGTCTGCTCAAAAACTGACTGAAAATGCTGCCGTTTAACCTCTACTCTCCCTGGTCTACTGATTGATAACTTAATCTGCTTAATCCGGTCAATCTGCCTCAGTTGGACTGCCTACACCAACTTGTCGCCAGCATGAACTGCTTTCAGTTAGTTGAGAGAAACATGCTCCCCCTGACCTTGTTGCAGCATTCACTGTAGTCAGACACTATGAGCTGCCGTCAGCTATTAATTTCAGTACTGGAATGTTTATTGGATGAAATGGTTTGATGATTTTATGCATTTATTTTGCTTGATCATGTGTTGTGAGCCGCCCTGAGATTGCTTGCAGGACAGGGTGGGGATACAAAATAAATAAAGAACTCAGTCAGCCCACTTTTATGTTCAGCTGCCCGGAATGTGTTCAAAATACCGCAACTCTGGAATCAACTCTGCCCATTTCAGAAGAGTGCCCCCCTATCAAGTTTCTATGATCTTGTTTCAGTCTAAGGAGAAAACCTGCAATGGATGGATAGCCTCCAAGAAGTTAATACTCATTTGTCTGCCTTCTGGAGGCAATGGCTCCTCCTGGCAATGGCTCTTTCACCCTGTCACCCTGATGTCTGAAGTGACTCTCATTGTGTTTCTCAGAGGCTTCCCCTGGATAGCATGTCTCAATCCATTAAAGAAGGCATTGTTTTCCCTAAGATAGCACATGGATGGATTGGGGATGGGGTTTGGTTACCTGCTTCTGGAGTGGTAGAAGGAGCCACAACATGAGAGGACTGGAGTCTAGCACATATAACAGAGTTAACTGCAGGGGCCATTGACCCTTGAAGCCCATCCAAGAGCTTGAGTTCTGCTCTACTGGAAGACTAGACCATTTGGACATTAGCTAGGATCTTCTCCTGTCTCTTCAGCATCAAGAACATATGTCCTGATAGCGTGCCCATGGATATTGCTGAATCAAGTGCAGGGCAGGTGTCAGAATGCTTCTCGATGTTCATAAAGAATCCATGTTCCCCAGAGAAGGAAGCATGGTTTGCACATTCACCCATCCCTGGAGGAGAGATCTGGATCTCATCAAGAGGTCATCCAGGTAAGAGTTAATGTGTTTCCCTTAGTATGAAGGTGAGCCAATGCTATGATTATTATCCTGGTAAAGGCAGCTTCTGAACTGGAAATAGTGACCCTTGTAAAAGAACCTTATGAACTTGTGGTGAATTTATCAGATCAAAACGGGCCGCTAGGGCCTCCTTGAAATCAAAGGGAGATAGCTAGCTTCCTACTAAGAGCCTTCATGATGGTGTGAAATGCTGCCCTTCTGAAGCATCGCTGGGCCAGAAAATCCACTGACAAATCAGCCTATTCAGGATGTCTAGCCAGTCCTTCTTTGAGACTATGATGACCAAACGGATGCTGAAGAACCTTGCACAAGGTGGAACACTCTGCCCAGGAGAACTAAGGATGCTCGTATTTGTCCTGTGGAACAGAGCAACCTTATTCTTCTTATCCTCAGGATCTCTTAGGTTTCCTTCTTCACCCTAGTACCAGGCCATCTAAAGTTGGACACTGGGAAGTGTCCATGGTATCTTTGGGCAGGATGTAATATTGCTTCGTAAAACTGGAGTCTTCTCTTGCTGCTAATGGATTTGTCCAGTCTTTAAGTTGGTTCTTAAAGGACTCAGGAAGACATGGTCTTTACTGCCCCCCTGTGGGAAAATCTCAGCTGTGCCTTTAGGTTTAAAAGGAACCAGCTGCTGATGGAACTTCTGTTTGTCCTGAGAGATAGCTGAAGCACTCTAATTGCTTTGCTAAGGAGGATGGGAACAAATCAGTCTGAAAAGGCTTGCTCAAGAACAAATCACTGTCACATCCTTCTTTCCCAGACAACTCATCTTCCTTGCCTGAAGGAGCTCAGGAGATTTCCGATTAATCTCCCTCAATCCAGCATTTCTCTGGAGTCTAGCACAATGGTATCTCCATTCCCTGGAGGAAATTCCCGCCCCCGCCCCCCAAGTTCACTGAGGCTGCCATTTCCCAGAGGTGCTAAAGACTGGAAGAAGAGCTCCCCCTTTCCTCATTACTCCAAGAAGGGATTATCTCCTACCTCCCTGGGAGTTAAAATCCTTTTTCAGTGTAGACAATCATGCCCTGCCTTCTTGCAGCTCCCCTTCCGCAGTTTCCCTATCCCTTGTACAAAGGAAAGGTATTAGAGAGGAAGGATCCATTCCCCCACCCTTCTAAAATAAAGCCAAGACAGAGACTGGAATAAAAGACTTCTCCAGATCCACTGGCAGATTCTACACTTTCTGCGGAAGCGGGAGCAGAATTGGGCAATCCTCTCACCCGTCCAGGGGACTGTCTGTCTTGCTTCTAAAAGTGGATGTTCTCCTCCACTAAGGAAATCTAGTGCTTATCCCAGCCTTCAAAATTTGATGAAAGAAATTCTTTTAAAGGATGTCCTTTATTTGACTGAAGGAGCAATCACAGTAAACCCAGTAATCTCCTTTAATGTTCAGGTGCCAATCTGAATTCATGGGACTGAAGCAATTTGAACTGCGTCTACATTACAGAATGTTTCTTCCTCCCAGTATAGATTTAATAATCACTGTAATAAAGATGGGTCTGAGTAGGTAGTACAGCAGAATATATGTCAAAAATACTGGCTGAGGCCAACTGGTGTTACACAGATTTCTCCAGTTGGTTAGCTGGAGATTTCACAAAGCATAAGCAACGCGTCTTCTCAAAGATTTATCTACCCTGACATCAGCTTATGTCCGCTACAGCTATATTAGAACTGTCAAAGTACAGATGAGAGCACTGGAATAGATCCTGCAATCTATGGGCAAAGGGATCCTAGACTTTCCACATCCTACTTCTCCCAGCAATCCCTCCGGACACTGGGAAAGGATCCCAGGACCCATGTGGATTAACAGCCATGATGTTCAGTGGATGGTACTGAGATGGAAGAAGGGGCCAATACCACCATCTGTTCCTTCTTCTGTCAGACAGAACAGGAAAGAGCAGAGATTTAATCTGCTTTTCCCTTCCATACTTCAACCACCCGACTGGTACTATTTAATGCATGTGGGCCTACAACCCTGTGAATCAACTCTCCCAGTGTTGGATGGGGCTGCTGGGGAAGGGAAACATGGGGAAGATACACAACTACCACTGCCTCTCTTGAACTCGACCCACTGTTACAGTGTTACTCTCTTATGCACTGTTACGCATTAAGCCATCTAAGGGACCTGCTAATGAACTACCACTGAGAAAGGACACATGGAAGAGTAGTTCTTGAGAATTATATGGGCTTCGTGGAGTTAGATGGACGCCACTGTGGGAACATAGGTACAATTTAAATGTACTTTAACACAGAACTGGTCAATACCATTCCAATACTAATGAACTGTACATGTTCCTCGCAATGATCGTAATCAATACACTAAATGTAGCAATTCATTACCCTGCTACAGCATGCAGCCCCAAAGTTAATCTCCTCATTTTCCTTCATAGCAGCCAACAGTCCATAGCTATTCAGCAGAAAAGAGCTCTTGCTGTTTGGAGAAGGGAGAATACAATCCGTTCTTTGTACCTGCTGTGACCATCCCGAAGTCAAAATTGCAACTGGCAGGCTCTTGCTACTAGGCAGTACAGAAAACAACCTGCCTTGGCAGATGCGGGCTTTTGTTACCTGGCAAGCGAATGGCTTTCACCTGCGGTCCTCCCTAGAGTGGTACATCACACAATTAGAACAGTGCTGCTCACAGACTGGTATTTCAATAAGAATAAAGCGAGCAGGCAGGAAGGATCAAACAAGTTTTTAAAAAATTTAGCATTCAGCCATGTGAACATTCATTCAATTTGTATACGCAGCAAGCAAAGAGAGTAAAAGGCAACTGCTACCTATGCAAACTATCCGAGTCCTTATTTGCACAGTTACACTCAACTCTACGGGAAAAACCTATGGAAGCCCATCAGAGATCACAGATGTGGGTGTTCATGCTTTTTCTGACTAGAGTTTCTTGGAAACTAGACCTCATTTTCTTGAGAAAGTAAAGTAGGAGAATGCAAATAACAATGCTACTTAGCTGATGGACATCTGTAAGGGAATGTTTCAGACACGCTTGCTTATGGAAGGAGGATCATACTATCTAACGCACTGGATGCAACCATCACAAAGCCAGGGAGGCGAGGAGAGAAATTCTGGCAGCATATATTTCCCAACTTAATGTGGAACATAGTAGCTGATGGTATTCTATATCTAGATTTTTATGCAGTTAGGTTAGAAATGGCTGTATTTGTATTAGTTTTAATTACTTTTATACACTTTTATATTTGTATACCTTAATTTCTATATTTTATCAGGCTATGGGCATTTTCTTTCTTACTTATTTGTATTCTGGTCATGGACTGTAAACAAAGTATATTAAGTATCATTTTATATATTATGCGTTCCACGTCACAATGGTCAATAAAGCAACAGATGGAGTACCTGTGTGAAGGTGAGGGAGCTTCAAACTGAGGCACGGTGCTGTCCTCGCTGACTGGTGAGTACAAGCCACTCCTTTCCTAGAATACATACAGTCATATTAAAGCGGCTACACAAAAGTAGGATTTACACC